TCTGTCGTATTTTTCTAAATACTAACACATGTTTTTAATGGAGAAAGTTGTTGTGACCTAACAGATTCCTTGAGAAAGCCCACAATAAACAACTATTTTCAGTAATATTATTTTCTAATTGAAAGAAAAAGTTTGTAAACTACTTATCTACTAACATCCCGTAGCATATAGACGAAAGTTTCATCGTCAAAAATAGTAATTTCAGTATTTCTGATAAAAAGTTGTACAGAGGATCGAAAAAAAGCTTTGTCAAGTGCATTTGTAATGAAAAACGACAATAGATAGTGTTTTTAATTCAAACCGCTATAACGGAATATTGCGTTGAGGTATTTAATTTTGTCACTGCATTTCGTTTATACGCATCAGCAGGATTTCTGCAGATTTCAAAACTTTATTTAAAATGATGAATGCCTTCATTCGCTTTGTAAATTAAAATTCGACTATTGTTTGTCCATCAGCGAGTACACGGAATGTACAGAATGTAGAAATATAAACCACTTGTTTTCGAAGCATACGTATATCTATATAAGTATATATCTCCTGTCTAACCGCATATGCAATTTAAGTTTTCTTTTCTTTTTCCTTTTCATATTCTTTTTCCCTGCTAGAAATTAACACTTGTTGTGTCTGGCTGGTTGCTATGCCAATATGGAAATTAAATTCAACGGTTTTAACATTTTATGTAGGAGTTTACACATGGCAACTTCGAGTTCAGCGAATACAGGGTGACTGGCAATCGCAACTATATTTTTGGGGGTTGGAAATGCACCAGTTTCGAGAAAATCTACTTTAGTTTTCTTGGTAAAAATATCTAAATTTTGGCCTAAATTTTTCCACTAATTCGTTAATCTTCCTAAAGTTAAAAACTATGAAATTATTGAAATTGTTACATTTAATCCGATTGGGGAAATTCGTTCCATTACGTAGTTTTACTTCTTTTCTTAATATTGGATTATTGGATCACCCACGCTTCAAAATAAAGAAATATTCAGCAGGAATCACTGCCGTTTTCTATATAGTTAGGGCAAAAAAAAAAACATTTAACAAAGTGGGATTATGGTTGACTAATAGCTTTCTTCGTAACTACCGTTTTAGTGTTGGTAATTGTGCAGTAAATAATGGTTGTAAAAAAGGCTATGAGGGTAGAAGTCCGTAAAATTGGCTATTTCAGTAACGCAATTAAAAATTGAGCATTTTTTTTTCTAAATTGTAAATATGTTGCTGCATGACAACATTTTAGAAACTTTTATTGCTTTGTTGTTAAGTTGTATCTTAAAATGTATAAAAATAAACCTTTTATTAATAATACCTGGCACTGATTTCATCAAAATTTTCTAGATGATCTACGTATTTGTTCTCAATTTTTCTGCTAATAATAATAAT